CCTCGCACACACACTAATGTAAAGACCACACACTTAGCCTCTGAAGGCTGAGGTTAAACAGAGATCAGGAAGTTGCACACATAATGGCGAGAAGGGTAAAAGAGGCGAGAGAGCAGCTCCCCTGGGCATCGATGTGGGAGATATACCTGACAGGACAGTGGGGGGTGAGGGTGTGAGGGGGGAGAAAGGGGGCCAAAGCAGAGGAGTTGAGACTTAAATGGAAAAGGAGGAGGAAGTGAGGAGAAAAGGAGGTGAGAATGCAGCAGTGGCTGAAGGAAAGCCAAGAAGATGTCTTAACGCCGAGCGGCCATGTTGAGATGATGAATGGTCTATAGGAGGCCATTAAAGAGGTAGTGGCTGTGTGGGTCTGATCTGGAAAGCCTCCACTTCAACTCAAGTACCTCGCCAGTTTTCCACTGATCCAGTGTAAACCTTTAAGTGGTAGTTAAATTAAAAATACACCCCACACTTCTCTTCTTTCCCATAATTCCCAGTCTTTGGTAACTGTGATGGTCCTGTATCGACCATAGACAGACAGAGACGTGTGAATATTCACCACAACAATCCAAATTTGGATCTGTGTCTGGACGTCCATACGTCCAGACACACCAGCAAAGGCCCCATGTTTTTCACCAGTGACAGTGTGACAGACAGACGGTCTGTCAGCAGTACTCACAGCTAACAGACTGAGGGCGGATCGAACGCTAACACATCTTTCCTACAAGCCGTCAAGTAAATAAAATAGAAGCAGCAGAATATATCACAGCCACAGAAGTAGTGCTGTAAAGTCTACATTTATTCTAAAGCCTTCGTCTCTCCATCGCACTCATCACGTGCATAATTCAACATGTTACCTCGCTTAATGCAGGAATGGGAGCAGTGTGACTGAGACATGTTGTGCTGGTGTTGGACAGTTCACGTGTGACAGAAAGGCACAGAGAAAATGATGAAGAGAAAAACAGATCAACAACAGAAAAACGGTTTAAAGAGAGGCTGTGGGGATGGGTTTTCAACTGTCAACCCGGCCGGCTCACAGGGACAGAGAAATCGTATCAGAAGGCAGTGAAGGATCAGTCAGTCTGGACAGTTTACCAGTCCATCACAGGACAAACCTCCATTCACACTTACATCTACACCATGGTGAATGTAGTGTGAACAACTGACCTAACTTGCATGTGTTTTCTGTTGAAGGAAGTCACAGTACAATTTACTTACTCATCTCCTTCACAGACAGTATAATCCAACAACAAACTATTTACAAACAGCACTGCCCACTAACATTGAACAGATTATCAAACAGTTTTGAATGTGAATCTTAATTCAGCGCAATCTTGAATATTTCATAGATACAGTACATGTGTACCCGCACTATCAAGAGTACAATATGTGTAGAAGTTCCATAAGTTTAATCCTGGTTAATACCAGCAACGACTCCATTTGAAAGA